TTTGATAAACCATTTAATCAAATATACAATAATACTATGTATATAAGAAATTTTTCACATAATAGATGTTATTTACAACAAGGATATTTTAATAAGAATGGTTTTAAATTTGGTCCATTACCTGCTACAGCAATACCATTATATTTAAATCAAATAGAACCTTATACAACATTATATTCTCTTTTTGAATCTCATTTTCATTGTTCAAAAAATATATTTAGTGAAACATTAATTTCAAATTTTAATTATTCTTCTATACCTTATCAAAAATTACAAAATATAACTCAAATTAATGCATTTGAATTTCCTTATGAATCTATTCCTCAATTTTATTCTTGTCATTGGTTATTTACACCAAATGAACATGATTTTACTCGTATTAGTTTTCCTAAAATATTTGCAAATAATTCAAAACAATTTATTTTATATCATAGAATGTTATTAGAATCACCAAGAGTATCTGAAGAAATGCATAAATGGTTTGAAATGATTTTTGGAAAGAAAATGAATGAAAAAAGTATTCCAGAAAATTGTAAAAAGAATTTTCAATCAAAATTTAAACAATTAATTGGTCAACAACCACAACTCTTATTTAAAACTCATCCAAAAAGAAAAAAATCATTTGATTATAGTGAACTTATTAAAGCTATGAATAATGAACAAAATAATTTATCAATTGATATATTTAAAGAGTTAAATCAACGTGAAACAAAATTTGAATTACTTCAAATGATGGATAATTATATTATTATTAAGAAATATGATGAAGTGTTTATATTAAATTTTGGATTAAAAAAAATAAAAAAAGTTAATTGGAATGGAATACAAAATAAAGAAATTAATACATTGATGTTTTATGATGGAGATGAAACAATTGGAACTATTTATTATTGTATTGGATATTCAACCATTACTATTATTTATAAAAACCAACAAAAAGATATTACAACTTTGACTGGAAGTATTACTTCTATTACATTAAAAGAAGTTAATAAATTTTGTATCTTTGAATTAGAAATTGGAACTTGTTGTGGAGAGTTAGAATGTTATAAAATTATAATAGATAAAGAAGTTCATGAAATTCAAATTTTATTCTATAATAAAATTATTATTTCTTCAAATCCTTTAACTAATATTATATCATTACCACTTCTTGGGTATAGTATTATTCAATCAAAAGACTTATTTATATATTCTAATTTAAATGAAAAAATAATATCTAAAATACATTGCAAACAAGAACCTCTCTGTGGGTGTGCTTCTTCAAATGGAAATATTTATTATACTCAAACTTTACAATCTTCAATTGAAATACATTGTATTGATATAAATGGATATGAAACAGGAATAATATTATTAGATGATAATATTATTTCTTTGAATTGTATTTGTTGTACTTTTGTTGATTTTATTCTTGGTGGTTTGAAAACAAAAGGTTTAATTTATTTTAACAATTATTATATTCCTCTGCTCATTCATACATTAGACTTTAATACATTACTTGAAAATTTTACTATTAAAAATGTAATTGTACAACCCTCTTCATTAACAACTTCCATCAAAGAGAATTGGATTTTTATTGTTCAATGTCAAGAAAAAGATCATCAAATTTTACGCTCATTTGTTTTGAATGATGTAAAACTTATTTCACTTTAAATAACACATTTTTTTTTGTCATTATTTCGATAAAAAATAATAATAAAAAACCTTAAAAAAAAAATACTAAAAGAGATTAAATGTCAAAAACACGTCGTTTTCAGGTAATAAAAGAAAATCCTCATCTTAAATCTTTATGTGAGCAAGAATGTATATTGATTGATGGAATATTTGGAATGTGTTTATGTTTTTCAAGTGAAGGAATTGATATTATTTCAACAGAAAAAAGAAAATTTGCTAAATTAACAAAGATAATTGATTCTCGATTACAATGCGTTGTTGAAAGAATTATTGATTTAGCAGAAGATTATTCAATTATTAATTCTTTTTTAAAAAGTAAACATGAAGGAATAACACAACAAGCATTATGTGAAGGAATAGTTGAATTTAGAGAAGAATATGTGAATGATATTTGTTTTGTAGAAAAGCAAGCACGAAAAGAAATGTGGACAATTCAAGAAATTTGTTGTGAATTAAATAAGAAATTTGATACTCTAAAACCTATTAGAGAAATAATTGAAGTAGTTACAAAAGAAACTAAACCACAAAAAATTATTGAAGTTCTTTATAGTCAATTACGTCTTTTTGGAGGGATTGGTACAAGTGTTAAATTATTAAAAAAGTTAATAGAAAAAACTTGTGAACCATTAATGAATTTTATTTCAAAATGGATGAGTTGTGGAGAATTATTATATAATGAATTTTTTATAAAAAAAGAAGGAGAAAAATATATATTCTTATGAAGAAGAAGTTCCATGTTGTGTGCAACCTCATGGAAATGAAATTTATATAACTGGAAATTATGTTAATTCAATTACAAGATATCGAATTCAACATGAAACTGAATTATTTCAACAAATGCTTTTACACCAAACGTCAGAAATAGAAGAAGAAAGTAAAGAAGAAATACCATCTATTCATTTAGAATCAATAACTTTATTTAATCCATTAAAATTTAAACAATTAATTACTAAACAAGCGGAACTAATTAATAAAATGCTCTTTGTTATATTTCAACATTGTCATATTGATGATACTTTTAATAAAATTAGAAAGACATATTTATTAGGTGAACCTTCATTTTATTATAATTTTTTTGATGTGTCACATGGAATATTATCAAATGCATATTCAGCAGATGAAGAATTACGTTCAACATATAAATTATTTGATTCATTGTTATTTGAATTAAAATCAATTCATTTATCATCAAATTGTTTTAGTGTATCATTTCAAAAAGAATTTATTCAAAATTATTTAGAATTAACAACAACTGATAAACCATGTAATATGTTTCAAGCATTTTTAATACGACTTGTAATTCCTTTTCCATTATCTTTAATTGTAAATGATGAAGCAACTTTAAGATATCAAGTTATATTTAAATTTTTATTTGATATTGAATATCATCGTTATTTATTATCTCGTGCATTTACAAAAATAATTTGTAAGTCAACAGAACTTGGAACAAATAGAAATTATAGTACATTAAGATTTTATCTTCAACAACTTCTTTTAATTTGTTCAAAAACATTAGAAGAAATAGTAATTTATTGTCAGTGTGATGTTATTACAAAATTATGGAATAAATTTATTTCAACACCAAAATATTCTGTAAATGATTTAAAAGAATTACATTCTAAATTTTTAAATGATTGTTTAACTGGAATTGGATTAAATGAAACAGTATTATTTAATTCTTATAATAAATTATTAATTCATATTAGATATGTACTTCAAACA